AGACAAGGGCAGAAATGTTACCACGGACAATTTCTTCACATCGCTTTCACTTGCGCAAAAACTTCTTAGACGGAAAACCACCATCCTCGGCACAGTCAACAAGAGTCGCAGGGAAATTCCTCAATCCGCTAGACAGACAGGTCGCAATGAATTCACCACTCAAGTATGTTGCAGGTCTTTTGTGGTTCTATGTTTATGTGTTTCATTGTGTGTAAAAGGGCTATGGAAATAACAATTTCTTTTTTTTCTTAGGTGTTTTCAACCTCTGCTGCCACGCTGACAGTGTATGCGGCCAAACGGAAGAAGACAGTCTATATTCTTAGCAGCATGCCCAGCGTGGTTCAGACTGATAACACCACCAAAAGGAAGCCAAACACTGTCACCCTTTACAACACCACAAAGTGTGGCGTGGATGTGATGGACCAGATGGTGCGGGAGTACACTGTCCGCAGAGGAACACTGCGCTGGCCAGTTGCCGTGTTCTATAACATGATTGACATGGCAGCACTGAATGCACATGTGCTGTATCAAGCATGCACCGGGACGAAGGAAAGACGGGTGGACTTCCTGGTGGAGCTTGCAAGAGAGTTGGCTCACTCTCATGTAGCTGAGAAGAAGGCAAGAAAAGAACAGTTGCTTTGGACACAACCCTCCACACCTAGCCCTGGAAAAAGAGCCATGTGTCAGGTCAAACACAAATGCAAGAGCAATCATGCCACTGTGCGATGTGTTCACTGCTACAGATACACGTGTGGTAAATGCAGACTACAGATACCATGGCAGTGCCAGGATAGTGAGTGATTGCTGAAAATGTTGAAATGTACTCACTCACTTTTTATTATTTGTAAATATGTGTACAAATGGTTGTTTTGTTTTTTTGTACTGTTTTTATCAATAAATCTCAGCAACAAAGGAAAGACACCCATGTGTGTTGATTTCTACCTAAAATGGCAAACTGAAACACAAGTTTCCTTGTGGCCCAGGAAACTAACCACTCCAAGTTGGTGACTTTTGGAGATTTATTTTCCTGGATGATTGAGAATGCATCAAGACGAACACAAAAGGAAGTTCACAGCTTCACAGGAAAAAAGGTGTTGAGTACTGTTTGTGTTTCCAGCCTTTTTTAAATTACATTTTGACATGACAAATGGCATATATCAATAAACAGTGAATATTAGCTTAAAGTTCAGTGTCTCATTTCAAGATATGGGAACTACTATTGAATGACCGGCTACATACAAATAAACAAACACAAAGAGTTCATTTGTAAGAGTTTCTGATGAATCATTTGGAGAAAAGAGAATCCATGATAATTAGCATGTTTTGTTGTCTTCATTTGTGATTTTGACATGACAATATTATACTTTAATGTATAATATTGTAAAGGAAACAAAACAAAAAATTGCTCTTTTTTTATTCGGGCTACTTAAATTTATTTTGGGCTACCAAAAACTGAAGAATGCCTGCCCGAAGGGCTACCAGAGATTTTGAAATTTTGCGAGCCTTGTGTTGTTGTTGATTGTGGCACACGTAATGCAGCTGGGCTGGCATCTGAGATTGGCACAGCTGTGGCTGTTTTTAACACATGCCTTGATGACCTGATGCTTCACATCAGAAATCTACAGAAGTCTTTAGATGCACAATGGTATGCTGTTAGCAGCATTTCTGTGCAGGCAGGTCAAGCTGATGTTGACGTGGGGAGTAGTGCAGTGTTTGTGGACAGGGATGTTGACACCAATCTTACAGCTAAACTTGATAACACTTCTGTCAACCTTGAAACTGTTAATGCTGTCACAGGAGTTGGAGCAGAGGATGGCAGTTGCATTATAAAGAGTGTGAGAGGATCATTTCACCAGGCTGATGATCGATTTAAATATGGAGGAGTTCAGAGTATGGCTATAGGTCTGGTTAGCCTGGCAAAACATAAAGTTGATAGCGTCTTTTCATGGGAGACAAAAGATCTTGTCAGAGTTGCAGTTTTAGGTGACCTTTTGTACACCAATTTGAGAGACTGCAACATGATAAGCAACTCATCCAGTGTGTTGTGTGTCCCTGATTTGCCTAAACATTATTGTATTGATGGGCAAAACTTTGAGTTTGAGTATAGAGATTTTGTCAGTGGGGATGTTGATGTGCTTGAAGGGGAACTCATTGAGAATGGCGTCTACACTACCCTGCAGACTGGGCTGCAATAGATCTGTGCCATGTATAATACATGTCTTTTGACATTGTGTGGCAGTACATGTGCAGTCATTTCTGAGAATGGACAATATGCACTAGTTGATTCTCATGCACTCAGTGAGCAGGGAAGAAGTGTTGTTTTGTGCTTCAGGTCACTTGAAGATGTGTTCAGACACATCTGCCAGCTGGCAACTGGCCTGAGTCAGAAGCAAAAGCCTTTTGAAGTAGCTGGTGTTTGTGTTGGGTACCTTGTGGTGTCCGAAAGTGCCACACCCAAAGACAGTTGTGAAAAAACTAGCAAAACCTTTACACCTGAATCAAGTTGTGATTCAATCCAGGATGAACCAAACATCAGTGATGTTATCATTGAGGAGTCTTTAATAGAGGCAGAGAGTTGCAAAGCTTCTGGAAAGACCTTGACTAGTTCTGAGTATGATTTAGGTTTATTATGTAATGATGCAACAAGAAAGCACAAGATTTCAGTGGGTCACAGTGAAGCTAAGAAGTTAAAACAGTATGATGTGTCTGAAGTGAATTCAGATGTTGAATTTGTTAGTGAAGTGTTACGTTCCCCTGAGGCGTCTAGGCGATGAGGGGGAAGTAACAAAAAGTGTCCGGGTCAGGAAAAAGAGTCAAGGAGGCATAAGGGTTAAATTAACGAGTTTTTATTAAAATTCCTATCAAGCTCAACTAAAAGACACGGACAAGCCGCTATCACCATTTAAGGAAAACAAACAAAACTCAAGCGTTGGTCAATAAAGTAAAACGTAAGCCAAAAAGAAAGAGCAGCTCATTAGCTGCAAACACCACACACTCAGCTCACTAGCTGCAACCACTCACATGGCACTCTGGCCCAGAGCTCACCTTTCCCTGGGATTAAATACTTTTAATTACTGACGAGAGTCAGCTGTGGAAAAGGGAAAGGTGGCACCTCAGGCAGAAGCGATTGAAGGACACTCCCACACAGGCACCTTCAGGAGGAGGCCCTGCTAGGGCCGTAACAGAAGTGATAAAACACAAGCTGGTGTTTAGTCCTATTTCTGAGTTGGTTTGTCAGGCTTTGTGCACACAGTTGAATGTGGAGTTTGAAAAAAATTAGTGTACCAGCATCTACATGTGTTGGTTTGTTAGGTGTTCCATGCTAAAATGAAAGTATAGTGGCTGATGGGAACTGTTTCTTCAGAGCTATTTCTCAGGTTGTGACTGGCACACAAAAGCACCATCGCAAGATAAGACTTGTCATTGTGAAAGAGTTGGAGAGGAATGCTGCAATATATAGAAATATTTTAAGATCAGAGTATTCAACAGTTGCAGACTACATTCAGAAATCTAAAATGAGAAATGTTAACAGCTGGGCTACAGAAGTTGAAATCCAAGCAACTGCAAACTATTTAGGAGTTGATGTATTTACTTTTTATGATGACCGTTGGCTAAAATACAGCTGTAATGGCAAGCTTTTGTCAGAAAAGGGAATCTATTTAGAAAATCGTCATGGGAATCATTATGAGACGGTGGTTTGTGTTCATAAGCCTGAACTGCAGACCTGTTATGGCTACTGCAAAACCAGTGCATCTGTTAAAGGATATAGCACTAGGTCTCAGAGTAAGGATAAAAGTACTTTTGAGAAAACACAGGATCACACATTGTGCAGATGCAGTAGTACTAGATACAGATGCTGATGTTGAGGTTTTGAATGATGCAAGTCAGACGTTTAGTTTTACTCCTCTTTCCAATGAAGTTGCACAAATTTTATGCTGTAAATTTAATGTTAATTTTGCGAAGCAGAACAACAAACTTCACACTGTGTATGGTGATTTAGGTGTTGTTTGTAAAACAGATAAGGTTGTAGAGGATGGCAATAGTTTTTTGTTTTTAGGGCTAACATCTGTGTCAAGTGGATAAGAGAGAAGATGATTTACAACAACGTGCCTGTGAAATTCAGCATCAGCAAGACTCTATTAAGATGAGAAGAAAGCAGGCAAGTGATATCTTAACAACAATCAAGAAGGCTCTTTCAGACTAGAGTAGGAGTTTTGAAAGTGTGGAGCATTTGTTTCAGAGTTTAGGTATGAATCAGGCAACTTTCGAGGATGCATACAAATGCTTTAGTCGAAATACACATGTTGTGTTGAAAAGGCAGGTAAACGAGGTTTGGATAAATCAATATAGTAAGCCTCTGTTGAAATGTTACAATGCTAATTTGGACATTCAATTTGTAATTGATGCTTATGCCTGCTGTGTTTATATAATTTCTTACATGTCAAAATCTGAAAAAGAGATGGGTTTGTTGTTAGGTAATGCTCAGAAGGACGCATATAAAGATGGAAATGTTAGTGCAAGGGAGGCTTTGAAGTCATTAGGCAGTGTTTACCTTCATAACCGATGTTAGTGCTCAGGAGGCTGTGTAAAGGCTAACAAATATGCATCTAAAAGAATGTTCTAGGAACTGTTTGTGCCAACAGGGGACAGTGTAGTTAAAATGAGTGTTAAGACTAAAAGCAACATCACAGGATTTAACAGCAGATGTGGATGACTAGTATTGTAGACCGGTATAAGAATATGGTCCCTGTGTCTGCCCGGCCAGCTCCACAAGGCCACATGTGTTTGGTGTGCAGGCTCCCGCCACACACCTGCATCTCGTCAGGCTCTGATTGCGGGTTGGACTCTTAAGGCTGGGATGCAGACAGCCTCACCGCTGGATGATTATGCTAGACACGTTAGTGAACCTCTGCCTCGAATCCTTAAGCTTTGTAGACTTGCTGCGATCTCCGTGTAACCTTATTTTCTCCTGTGCATAGTTTTCCTCGGACCCGTGACTAACCTGTTATTTCTACTGCTGTAAAGAAGAAGAGCCAGCGTGTTTGACTCCAATCCCGGACCTCCCTTTCGGACCTAGGACCCCCGTTCCCCTCACTGTATATATCTGCACCTGGTGGTTGTGTAAATAAACGTTGCTTTCCCCTTAACTCTGCTCTGCGCCTGAGTCCTACTACACCGCATGACAAGAATAGACCAAAAAACAGTGATTTTAATGATATGTGCATGGCCACATTTGCCTCAACCAAAGGTCACAACCTGCAGTTGTTCGTTATGCGCGATTTTCAGAGACTAAAAATGCTGAATTGTTTTATCAGAGTATTATGCAGTTGTTTTTGCCATATCGTGCAGATCAGGAACTAAAGCCTTCAAACGATACAACATTTGAACAGTTTTACGAGAATGGCTTTGTGAAGTTTAGCGATGGATGTCTGCATTCAGTGAAATCAGTTGTTGATGCAAATAGACGTAAGTTTGAAATAAACGCAGATAAACTGGATAATATTCAGAATACAATTGATTTGGATGGTGTAACAGAAGATGCCTGGTGTGAGCTTTGTCCCAAACAGGAGTTGGAGCGTTTAGAGTGAGCAGGAATGGAAAGATAAAGAGCAAATAGGGGAAGAAGACAAAGAGAATATTCCAGATTTAGCTGTGTGCAGCCAACAGGTTTCACATTTAGAAAAGAGAAATGATGCCCAGAAGTGATGGATTGGCTTTAATTAGATCTCTAAATGAGACACAGCTTTCAGTCTTTTATCAGATCAGGCAGTGGTGCTTGGATAAGACAGTAGGCGGTGGAGGTGCAGGAACAGGGAAAAGCCATTTAATTAAAGAAATTCACTATGAAGCAGCAAGGTTATTGTCACCAATGTGTCGTCATCCTGAAAATGTTTGTTTTATTAACTTCGCCTACTGGGATTGCTGCATATAACTTACATGCAACAACAATCCACAACATTGGTAAAGATGTCCGCTTACCTTACACCCCTCTGGGTGAGGAAAAGTTAAATTGCCTACGTGCTAAATATTGTGATCTGCAGATCCTGATAATTGATGAAATCTCCATGGTTGATCAGAGACTAATGGCTTACATCCATGGTAGATTAAGACAGATTAAACAAATTAGTGTCATGGTGCTGGGTCATGTAACCCAGTATTCTGAGTTTCTTGATGTTTTTGTTCCTTTCAGTCTAGTTTCATTTCAGTTTATCTAGTTACATCCTGTCATGCCGAGGTTACAGTTTTACTTCATGATTTATCGAGCTCCCCATTGGTCTCATCCCTGTGTGAAGTTTTCTGTCATGTTTCATGTCCAAGTTTTCTTTGTTTGTCTAGTTCGAGTCATGTCTGGGTCTCGTTATGTTTCCCGTTTTATTTTGAAGGATCCTTGTGTTTTTTGTTTATTGTATTTAGCTTCACGTCCTGTCCTGTCATTATGTTAATTGTTGTCAGTTGTTTTCCCCATGTGATTCCGCTTCTCCTGATCATTCCTTATATGTACTTAATCCGCTCAGTTGGCGTCAGATCGTCTGTTATCCTCATCTTTTCATAGTTTCCGTTATTGTGTTACTGTGTTCATAGTTTCTTCATAGTTCTTTCACAGAGTGTCATAGTCTTTTTAGATTACACAGTGTTCTCAGTCTCCTTAGTTTTCCCAGTTTCAGTGTTCTCTAGTGTTTTTGTCATGCCATCAGCCACAATAAAGGCTCGCTTTATTTTTGGAAACCTAGTTCTGTCTCCACCGTGTCTGCATCTGGGTCTACCTCTTCTTCACACCGGTGCACCCCGCCGTGACAGTTGGAGAGTTTTCGCCTTTTGGAAATGTTAGTGTTATTACTGTTGGAGACTTTTTTCAGTTGCCTCCAGTAAAAGGAAAACCCCTGTATGTTGAGGATGTTGGTATGAACTTGTGGTCTAGTCTATTTAGGGTTGTAGAACTAAAAAAAGTAGTAAGGCAGAGCGATGTTGGGTTTGCAGAATTAAACAGGTTAAGAACTCACGTTAAAGGGGCTCCATTCTCCAAAAGGACATTAAAAGCTTGAAACATTGAAACTGGTGAAGTTAGCTCAGCTTTACACATTTTTCCAACAAACAAGTACATTTTAATGAACAGAAAACAGAAGTGATGGTTTTTGGTGGCGCTTCTGAGGCCACTATTATAGATCTTGGTTCGCTGGCACAGTATGTTAAACCAGTCATCACTAATCTGGGAGTTAAAATAGAGGCAAATCTTAAACTTGAAAGCCAGGTCAGAGCTGTTGTAAGATCTAGCTTTTTTCATTTGAGGGAATTAGCCAAAATAAAGCCTCTTATTGAAACAGCAATCCATGCCTTTGTTACTTCTAGGCTGGATTATTGTAACGCACTTTATTTTGGGGTTAGTGATGCGTCCATTAGGCGCCTGCAGGTTGTGCAAAATGCTGCAGCACGTCTTTTAACTGGAACAAAAAAGTCTGAGCACATTACCCCAATTTTAATTTCACTCCACTGGCTACCTGTACATTTTAGGATTGTTTTTAAAATTCTCTTATTTGCATTTAAATCTCTTAATGGCTTGCCCCCCCCCCAACCTCTCGGAGCTACTACAACCATATACACCTGCCCGTTCCCTCAGGTCCGCCAATCAGCAGCTCCTTAAGGTACCGAAAACTAAGTTTAAATTTAAAGGTGATCATGCTTTTGCTGTAGTTGCTCCAAAGTTGTGGAATGATCTACCCTTGCATGTTAGGCAGGCCTCTCTTTCTGAATTTAAAAGTCTTCTTAAAACATTTATTGGCTGAAGCCTTTGGCATTGATTAGAGGGGTTGACTCAATTTGTTTTAACATGTTTCATTTTAGTTTTTTAGTTATTTATTTTATCTTATCTCATTTTAATTTTCTTTACTTATGCTATTAGCATGTACAGCACTTTGTGAACTCTGGTTTTATGTTAAAGTGCTTTATAAATAAAGGTGGTATGGTAAATGAGCATAATATGCAGCAGTTGTTTAAGATGTGTCCTGATTATGTTGAGATACCTGCTCGGGATTTTGTCAATAGTAAGAAAACTGGACATCATGCCAAAACATAACACATGTTTGGATGAAAAGCTTCTCTTGGGCAAAGGTGCCCGCGTAATGTTGTGTAAAAATGTAGATGTAATGGATGGTCTTGTTAATGGTGTATGTGGTACGGTAACACACACAGTTTGTTACTGAGGACAAGAAGCTTCCTAAAACCATTTATGTAAGATTCGATGACAATCATATAGGTGCACAAAGGAGAAAAAACTGTATTACCCAGCAGGTGAAATAGGCTCTACAGGTATTGAAGCAGAAGAAGAAAAGGTAACTGAGAAAGGTGGATTGCAGCAGCAGTTTCCACTGAAACTTGCATGAGCTTGTACAGTACATAAGGTACAAGGAGTTACTGTTGATGATGCGGTAGTGTCTCTTAAAAATGTGTTTGCTCCAGGACAGGCAGGTGTTGCCTTAAGTCGTGTTCGGAGTTTGTCAGGTTTAATAATTCAAGATTTCAATGAAAAAGCAATTTACTTTAAAGGTGGTGTAAAGGATGTAATCGAAAGAATGCGCCAATTTTTGTCTGAAAATACAGCATGTACTGAGACACATGATTTCACAGTAATGTTAATGAATGTGCAGAATTTAACTCTACGTGTAGCTGATCTGGTATTGTGCACACAGCATTTGCAGCCTAACTGTATTGCTGTTACAGAGACATGGATGTCTGCAGATTCTTCATTAGACACTGTAAAAATTGACGGTTATAGGTTTCAGCACGAAGTGCATCTTACACTAGAAGTAACCCAACATTTATTGAAATACAAAGCCAGCAGCATGGTGGCGTTGGCATGTGTACTGCAGACAGTTTGACATCTGAAATTATAACAATAGTTGTTTACTTTGCAACTATTGTACATGGAATATTTTAATAGCAGTTGTTTATCGGCCTCCTTCTTATACCATGGCACTGTTTAAACAAAACCGAGGAAAGTTACTTGATTGGCTAGATAAAAAAAAAGTAATACAGTAGTAGTAATGGGAGATTTTAATGACAATGTTCTAAAATCTTCAAGTATTTGCAAGTTTGTCACAGACAAAGGATTCATTCAACATGTAACACAGCCCACCACAGGTATCAGGCTGTTCTCCTTCATCTCATAGTGGACAGAAATGATTTTTTGGAGTGGCACAAATAATTTGTGTGGCATCAGATTTGATGCAGAACAGCTGATTGTTCTGTAAATAGTTTAAAATGTTTATTTAAAAACGCCTTGGCTGCATTTTTAGGTAAACAGCTGCAAAACACTTTGTTTGCATAACTCAGTTACTTTTTTTGAAGTAGTAACTATATAATTAATTGCCCAACATTGGTCATTATTTACTGTATTTTGCAGACAGAGTTCCAGACTCAGACTCAGAATACAGTCAGAGCAACAAATAAATAAAAAATAATCTTGTTTTCAAAATTGGAGTTAGTTATTTTTCCTTCCAATAGTGTTAACATGCTACACAGGACATAAACAAGACTTTTTTAATTTTCATTGTAAGTGGGCTAAAGCAGTTAATTAAAAGTAGTCTAACATAAATGCTGTAATTGATTACTTTAATAAACTTGGATGGATTTGATGCTGGCGTGACCACAGTGCACACGCCTGCTGTTGCACAGTGTCCACGGGACGCTCAGGGAGTTTGTGTTCGCTCAGACACGTGAAACATTAGAGGGAACATTTACACCAAGTATCAATAACTGCATCAGTTATGTTGGCTACGACTTCATTTCACAGTCCTGGGGAAATGTTTTCTTGCAGGAGAAACACCAGGATTCAATTCAATTCAATTTTATTTATATAGCGCCAAATCACAACAAATGTCGCCTCAAGGCGCTTCATAGATACAGAGAAAAGCCCAACAA